TTGTCTTATTTAAACTGGCATCTACTGGACCTTTTTATAAAGTGTATTTTTAAAATATGCCATGTTTCTTCAAGGTAAGGATGTAATTAAGCCTAGTATCTAATGCAGATCTCAAATAATACTCTTGGACTATATGCCCTTCCTTTGAAAGTAAATCTGGCTTATTTTACTGATATGCTGCTTCTGTCTTCTGTTTAAGCCTCTTCAAAGCAGTGCCCTACCTACCATATTGGGTGGGGTCATTACTGTTTAGTAGGATTCCTAAATTGCTAAAGTTTAAACTTCACGTAGACACCTTGTGGAGTCATACCATATCTTCACTATTAGCCTTTTCTGATTTTAGAAGCTTTCAGGGAACCTGAAGAATTACTTGTTCTAATTTTTTTTTTTTTTCCAGATGCAACACCCAAAATCAGGGAGAAACTGTAAGATTAAATGACGACTACATTTATCAAAGGCTGTATCTTAAATTCCTTTAAAGGGAGTTCACTACTGTGTGATTAAATTGAGAATTGTTTTCTTTTATTATAATACACCTGGAAAAAATTCCCTTCTAAATATTACTATTTACAGCATTAATTCAGATGTAAGCAGTCAGTCGTCTACTGAGAGAATTCTGAGCAAAAGTGTCTGGCCACTGTTGTCCAGAGCATATTATTTTGCACCTCTTCTGTGAAGGTGAGGAAAATGGCTTCTTGTAAATTACTGTTTTAAGTAGTACAATTCAAAATACAATATTTTAACAATTGTTTTATATAAATACATTGGGTACCTACATCATAACTACAGTACACTGGTGAGTATCACATCACTGTGTCTTTGTGGGTAGATTTCTCACTTGCTTGTCAGTGTTGTTGTCAGTCACTGAGAAATCCAAGTACATGTGTGTTCTTTGTATTCGCATCATAGTGCCAGAAGAATGGATGGTGTGTACCTGGTAACCCACCCTGTAAGAGTTAGTATGCCTGATTCTTGGTTAAATTATCAAATGCTGGATGTTTCATGATATCCCCCCAGAAGTTTTTATCTATTATATCTGAAAATGCTTTTTTTCATCCTACAGGGAAATTTAAAAGGTAATGTTCAGCAACTTCAAATAAGACCGAATACTACATTGATCTGTTTTAAAAGTACTTCTAAAAACATACATAGTATTTTACTTTTCTGGGTGGGTTACCATGTGCTTCAGAGACCTTCCTATGGTTTGCTAGGTCTCTGTGTTAGTGAAACCTGAACTTTGTAAGAGTTCCAGGGCAAAGGGAAGGGGTAGGTATACCATTGTGTAAGGTTGCAGAGTTTATTAGTTCTTGACATCAATAAATTGTTTTCCATGGTTTCAATATTACAAGTTATACACAGATTTTGACTTGTAATTGTCATAATCAGTACTGTAGGAATGCGGAAATAATGTAGAGTTTAGTTTTAAGGTTTCCAGTATTCTGAGTAGCTTTATTAAAAGAACATCTCTAAACTTGGGACAGATCTTGGCATTTCCTTCCCCCTCACCTCTCTGCTGTTGTCCAGCTGTCTTTGTAATTACTCTTGACTGTTGTCTCAGATGTGTCTTCAGTCATCAAGAGACAATTAAAAGTGGTTGGGGCAAGGGGCACACCTTTCTCTATGCAGTTAGCATTTCCTAACTTACCATTTGAACTCTAGCAAAATAAAATGCCTCATGTTGACTCGTGTCATTTTGAAGCTTGTCTTTGACCAAAATGGGGAACTAAGCCTATATTACCATCTTGCCTCACTAGTAGCAGTAACAACCTCACTCAGCCAGGTCTCCTCAGATGCATTTATTTATTCCCAAGAAAATGAGTGGTGGTTTGTAGGTTCGCTCATGGACTCTCAGGTTGGTCATTCCTTTTCTCTTTTGAAAGACCATTGAAGAATCTACAGCAGGGAAGAATTAACGTTGCAATTTTATTTTTACTACAAACTGAAAAAACTTTGGCACAGCTGCTTACCTATTTCTGTTTTTCTTAATACAAATAGAGCTTTCAGCTTAATCTAGTAACACCATTAATTGAGTAGAGCAGAAGAGCAGTGCCATTTCGTTACCTTTTTTTAAAATGGAGTCATATAATTTTTCAGTGACGTTTGGAGACACAACCATCATATACATTAAAAAAAAAAAAAAAAAAAACCCTGTCTACAGAAATACTGCTTGTGCATGCAACAGAACACTTTTTTTTGTTGTTTCCAGTTCAGAATGCGAAGGAATAGCCCAATAAACTGAAACTCATTTGAAACCAATTTGAATTATTTGATTCATCTCCCCTGACCTTTTTTGGTTTTTGGTTCTCACCCCAGATCCCTTTGGAAAAGCACAGATAGAAACATTAAATTCCAGCAGACCTTTCACAGTGTTGTTAGTTTCTATAGCATATGACCATTTTGGACATTTAATGGTTTTTATCTGCACAGTATTCTTATATGATGAGAAATTTTCCTTGGTATTTCTTAAATCTCAGCGATTCAGCTGGAATAAGTCATGATGTGACTGCCACTGTAGAAACTGAGGCAGAAGAGGTAACAGTTTCACCAGAAAAAAAGGATGTTTTATATTTTTTTCTTTCAGTGAGTTACACCAGTCATCCTGGGAAGGAGAATTATAATCCAAAGGAATGACACTATTGTAAGTATTCTTTTCATTATTTTTTTTTGTGGTTTTAATTCATACTTGACCAAGCAATTAGAAAAGGCTGATTCTAGACACACTGATCAAACAAATGAATAGGCATCTGTACACAAATACACACACTCACGCTTGACATTTAAAGCCCCAGAATTTAAGCATTAATTTAACAATAAACAGGCTTTTGCAAGAAGTATAATGGTGGCTCTCTTTACTTGCATTTCTGGAACAGCAACTGCCTTTTATATTTTGATTTGTTTTTAATGCTGAGTACAAAACTCAAAACTAAACATTTAGGTATATTTAACTAGTGTATAAACAAAGCCTTTGAATAAGACCTGTTAATACAGAAGTAGACTCCTTTCAGCATTAGAGACATTTGGATATTGAGATCAAAATGGGAATATGTTCCCTGGATAAGAGAACTTACTACTAAATTTTTCTTCACTTTTAAATAACACAGTAAAATTCTATAAAAGATACTTTCAGAAACATATCAATTAAAATTTGCTCTTACTATACTTTAACTCCAGATTTGATTTTAATATGCGATCATTGGTTTGACCATTGCCTGTGACAGGGCAAGTCGTATAGTTGGTACTCAATAAATATATCACAGAGCAAAGTCACTTAAAGAATCTTTCAGTTCAGATTATCCTAGTGTATAGAATGATTCAAAATTAATTTGGAATCCTGACAGCACCTATCAATTTGAGTCTGTGGAACAGTACCAAAATAAGAAGTACCATGTTCTTTTTATAAATGGAAAAAGTTTTAAATATGCATTTCTTATAAATTACCAAAATTAGTGGCAATAATAGTAGTTTGGATAATGAATGACCTTCAGTGAATTTACTCACTAAAGGATATTGAGGAATATATTTCATAGTTCATATGACTACTGTACATAGCAGTCCAAATAGGTGTTAGAGCGACATCCAGTCTCAAGATATCTTAAAATATTTATGTGTTTACAAACCTCTCAAAAACAAATCAAGTAAGCAGCTTTCAAAAGGCAAAATTGTGCCTTCGTGAGAAGGAGAAAGAACTGGTTAAAGTTCTGTTATTCACAGTCTCTTGTTTTCATTCTGTGAGTGCAGTAGTTTGTAAAAGCAATGAAGCTTCCCCTGAATATCACTTTCATGCCTCAAGATAGTTCTTACTTCTCTAGCAGTGTCACTGGATACTCACCCCTGCAAGGTGCTGCGTTTTATACAGCACGCAAGGTTTCAGGGAAAGCCTTTTTTCTTCCAAACCAAACCTGGGTTTCTTTAAGTAAAACATTATTTATACGAGACCAAAAAATACTGATTATTTTTAGAAGAGATTATTTTTTTATTTAATGCAGTGAATAGTCAACCTTACCATTGAACTAAACATCTGAAATTTGACAGCATGAAACAGAAATTAGTCATCTGTTAATGGTTGCTATCCACTAGGTACATCTCAGGTGTTTGTTAGAATATCAGGCTTGTAGACATTTGAGTAGACAATGTCAGCACAGAACACAAATCTCACACAAAGTATAATCAAAAGTTATTTCAAACAAATTATTCCATCAGTAAACTTCCTGTAGCAACATCAACTTCATGAAGTATTACGTCTGTCTTAAACGATGATGGTATGCGGATGTAAGCGTGTCATTATAAACATGATGCGCTAAATAGAGCATATTGAGGTCAAAGCCTTTCTGTAGAAAGGGAATTTAATTGACATTCTTTCAAGCATAGTGTATAAACAGACCGAAATAGTTTTATCATAAGAAACAGTATTTAACAACATAGCTTTAAAATAAAAATACTTTAAAAATCAACTTTGATGAGATTAAATTTATTTTTAAAGAATCTTCCTATAGAAGATTGAGTGAAATATATATTTCTCGCTTCTGGCTTTTCTACATTTTTCCAGCATGACCCCCACCTTCACCCTATCCCAGTCCATTGTTAATAAAGTAGTGTAAAACACTGCAGCAATTTCAACCAAGCTTAGTCCCCTACCAAGTCAGGGAAGTAAGACATTCTCACCAGATTCTCTCTAGAGGTATACTCCCTTGATATACCAGGAAGTTAGGTATAAAAACTACATGAGAGTCGGGAATGCAGTTTTTAAGTATAGGTTCTATGGTAAGTAGTGAAACATTTTCAAAGGCAAACCCTCTCCCCATAAGCAGTTTATTTTACAAAAGAGGTTTTCATGCATTCATATTTTCAAGAATGATTTTTTTTCTATAAATGAATGTAATGAAACACTGGCATATCACTTAGCACACTGCATTCTCCTCTATGTTAAAATTCACACTAATAACAAAAATCATAATATGCATATTAAAGCAGTTCAGTAACCTAATAAGAAAGTAGATACATTTTTTTTTCTGTGAGAACACTTGAGTATTAAATATTTTTAGATGCACAGAGGCATAATCTGCCACCAAAAGCAATGTGGATTTAATTTGCTAGATTTTTGACAACTGAACTGGGTTGCTAATTTGCTAACTTGGCACAAATTAATAGTGATTGGTATAAAAATCCTTATAGGCAATCATCATTTATAAACCTGGCAGTATTTTTTGTGTAGTCCTGTAGAGATTTTAAGGTTTTAGATGGAATGATAGAAGATTTGGAAATTTTCTTTGTAGGATTTCAGTGTGTGGAAGATTCTCTTGAGGAGGTGAATATACCTTCACTCATTACCTTAAAGTCAGCCTAGTCATATCTAAATAATTTGCACAGGAATAAATATCAGGATCCGAATCTATGTTAAGTTGTAATGCATCTGTTCCATTATTTAGGTTCTGGGATCCCTCCTCCCTTTTGAAATGTATAAAACATAGAAAACTGTAATGGATTACTTTTTAGATAAAAAATAGTCACATTAAAAAAAATTTTTTAATCAAATTGACATTTACATTTTATGTAGATTTAATCAGATTTAATATTCTAGTTCTTACACTTGTAATTAGAGAAATGTGTATCTCCCAATGTTACCATTCTTACATTTGTTGTTCCAATGTGTTATATTATTATCCACAGCTAACAAGGCTTTCACGCAGCAATAGCTAAACCTTTATCAAATTGATTCTGTACAATGGAAGTATATTTTCAAAGACATATGCCTTTGTACACTATTTACAGATTCTCTCAATCATGGTAAAATGGCAAAATAAATAAAAAACAGAAAGAAAGGAAATGCGGCTCAGGCTGAAGGCTTTTCCTTTTATCTTCCCAAACAGATGCTGGTCTCCTCAGTGCTGGGAGCTGGCTAGCCAAGATTGTTTTTCTTCCTTTTACATGGGCTATGAGAAGGATCTGGTTTCAGTTCTTGGTATTGCACCTGTTTAAACAGAGTTCAGAGAAAGGCTGGTCAGGTGGCCACTTTCTGGCAAAGGAAGGAAAAGCAAAGGAATTGAGAGGAGACTATGCTTGGGGGAAAAGAAAGTGCTCGCTCTGGAAGCTGTATGCGATCTGCAGCTGGGATGCAGAAAACAATAGAATGATAGAGCAAAGAGTCAAGGGAAATCTTGCCAGAATCTACATGAGAGCCCTGATGTGAACTTTGGTAACAGGCTGAGGTCTCTGTTGCCTGTACCCAAGTAACATTAAAAGCAGAACCATCTCCACCTATTTTGAAGGGCCGAATAATGGTTCTCTATAATTTACTGTGTGCTTGTTTAATATAAGCTTCATCTCCATCCAGCCCACTCTCACATCTGATACCAAATCAAAACCTCAGCTGAAACAAAGGAAAAAGGTACTGCTGCAACCCAGCTTCAATAGTTTGATAAAAACATTTCTCATTTTACTCTGAAAATATTTAATGATCAATGGGCATTAATTAACCTCCAAGGCTTTCAAAGGATTGAGATGTGCCCCGGTTCTCAAAAATCAGTTACAGTTACTCTTTCCCCCTTCACTGATCTCTAAAACAGACATCTTTAAAACTCACTTAATTCATGCAATGTATTTAAGGAAGTGTTTTTCTCAATATCTGCTGGCATACTTTGCTTTCACCATCTAATATTCCTAATTCCTCCTTCAGGTGATGGTGACTTCCCTTCACAAACTCCAGCTGAACCTTGGGGGAGGATCGTCCCCCTGACACCCTGGTAGGTTCTCTATGCAATGCCCTCTTATTCCCCAATCTTCTCTGTAAGTTCTTCTTGGATAACACCCCAACTGGGCTAATTCCTGAATGGCAAAATCTTCTACAGGCTTTATTGGCTTTACTTAGCTCTTCTAAAACCTTCAAAATTAAATGGATATAAAAGTTAAAACCCAATGCCACACTACATTAAAATGATACAGGCATACCTTAGAGATACTGCATGTTTGTTTCCAGGCCACTGCAGTGAAGTGAATATTGCAAGTCACATGAATATTTTGGTTTCCCAGTGCATATGAAAATTCTGTTTATGGTATACTGAAGTCTATTAAGTGTGCAATAGCATTATATCTAAAACAGTAATACCTTAATTTAAAGCTTTATTGCTAAAAAATGCTAACCATCATCTGAGCCTTCAGCAAGTATTAATCTTTTTACAATAGTAACATGAATGATCAATGTTCATAGGCCACCGTAACAAATATAATAATAATGAAAAAGTTCAGAACGTTTCAAGAATTACCAAAATGTGACACAGAGACCCAGAGTGAGCAAATGCTGTTGGAAAAATTGTTCCAATAGACTTGCTTAATGCGGGGTTGCCACAAACCTTCAACGTGTAAAGAAAAAGAAAAAAGACAAGAAATATCAGTGAAGCATGATAAAATGAGCTATGCCTGTAGTTATAATAATGAAACCTACATACCACTTGCACATCTGAAGGGACTCTGGAAAGGAAGTCAAGTAGTTCATTATTATCAATTGCATATGGACTCCGCAGCTTTTTTGTAAATTTATTGATGCCTGAAAAAGTGACAGATCAAACATTATTGAAATCTATAAGGTTTGGAGTTCAAATACACATTTCTGGCAAAAGTGTTGTGGTGATTTAAAGGTCCAGATTAAGCTGCCTTTATTTCAGCCTTGACTGAATGAACCAGTAAACCCAGTTTCCTTCCTTCCTTCCTTCCTTCCTCCCTCCCTCCCTCCCTCCTTCTTTCCCTCCTTCCCAACTCCGTGGCTGCTCTGTTTTTCTCTTTGTAGTTCAGTGGCTTCTTCCCAGCAGGAAAGGCTTTCTATTTGGGAAACAAAAGGCACCTGGCCTAACTTGCCTTTCCCCCTCAGTGTTACAGTACTTAGAAGCTTTGCTTTAATGTTTCATCTATGATGAAACTTGTCTCCCTACATTTTGGATTGGGATTGTTTTTAAGGCAAGAAATCTGACTTACTGGTTCCCCCTTTTCAAAAGATACACTTTTTTTTTTCAGTGGTGGGGAGGTGTTGTTATTTTGCAAACTAACCTGGGTTTTTGCTTTTTTTGTTTTAATTTCAAAATGACCTGGAATTTGGAAGGGTTTACCACCAGCTTTAAAAAACTAAAAAGCTTTGAAGATGGGACATATAAGGATCCCAAACACATCTCTTCCCACCAACATGCTGGATCTACAGCTACATATGGAACAGCTACCTCTGAAAATAACCTAAAAATTGGCTGAGTGAGTCTACACACTGGCCATCGTGAGAAGGCCCACATCGAAGCAGGTAGGAGAGGCAGGGACACAACCACAACATAAACCCCACCCCTAGCCTGAGAACCCACAATCAAGAGGGACTTCTCTCTGAGCAGTGAGGGTTTGAACCCCAAATCAGGCTTCCCCAACTTTTAAGAATTGCACCTGGAGAGATGAGCCCCCAAAACATCAAGATTTTTTTTTTTTTCCTAGTTTTGAGAAATAATTGACATACAAGTTTAAGGTATACAGCATGATGGTTTGATGTACACATATAGTGAAATGATTACCACAGTAGGTTTAGCTAATATCCATCATCTCATATAGATAAAAGAAAAATTTTTTTTCTGTTTTTCTGTGAGTTTGATGTTTGGGCTTTTGAGGGGTTTTATTTTTGCTTTATTTTTTTTTTCCCCCCAATTCCACATATAAGTGAAATCATACAGTGTTTGTTTTTCTCTGACTTATTTCACTAACGTAACACCTTCAAGGGCCATTCATGTTGTTGCAAATGGCAGGATTTCCTTGTTTTTTTATGGTTGAATAATATTTCATTGTATACCACTTCTTTATCTATTAATCCATCAGTGGACACTTAGATTGTTTCCATGTCTTGGTTATTGTAAATAATGCTGCTATGAACATGGGGGTGCAGATATCTTTTGGAGTTAGTCTTTTTGTTTCCCTTGGATAAATTCCCAGAAGTGTAATTGCTGGATCATATGGTAGTTCTATATTTATTTTTTTAAGGCCTCTCCATACTGTTCTCCATAGTGGCTGTACCAATTTACATTCCCACCAACAGTGTACAAGGGTTCCCTTTCCTCTGCATCCATACCAGCATTTGTTATCTTTTTGATGATGGCCGCTCTAACAAGCATGAGGTGCTATCTCATTGTGGTTTTAATTTGCATTTCCCTAGTGACTAGGGTTATTGAGCATCTTCTCATGGATCTGTTGGCCATTCGTATATCTTCTTTGGAAAAATGTGTATCCAGGTCCCTTGCCCATTTTTAATTTTTTTTTTGTTATTGGATTGTACGAGTTCTTTATACATGTTGGATATTAGCCCCTTATCAGATATATGGTTTGCAAATATTTTTTCCCATTCTGTAGATTCTTTTCACTTTGTTAATGGTTTTTTTTTTTTTTGCTATGCAGAAGCTTTTTGGCTTGATACAGTCCCACTTGTTTATTTTTAATTAATTTTGTTGTTGTGTTTTAGGTGTGATTTTCAAGAAATCATTACCAAGACTCATGTCAAAGAACTTTTTAAAAAAATGTTTTCTTCTAGAAGTTTCATGGTTTCAGGTCTTACAATCCATTTCAAGTTATTTTTTGTGACTGGTATAACATTAGGGGTCAAGTTTCATTTTTTTGCATGTGACTATCCAGTTTTCCTAGCACCATTTATTGAAAAGACTATCTTTTCTCATTGAGTATTCTCGGCTCCCTTGTCAAATATTAATTTACCATATATGCTTGGGTTTATTTCTGGGCTCTCAATTCTGTTCTATTAGTCTATTTGTCTCAAAAACCAACTTGTGTGTTCAGACTCACCCTCCCCAGGGCCCAGCATGGAAGCGGCTGATCCAGGGGCAACCAGATTTTGTGTGGGAAAGGATCATTTGCTTGTCATGAGGGGAAGGCATCTGATGTGAAACATATTCAGGGCCCTACCTGGGTTACTCTTCAGGGACAGAGACTAGCAGCCACCATGTTTTTTTTTCTTTTCTGGCGGGAACCATCTCTCCCCGACTGCCTCAGTCCAGCCATTTGGTACCATCTTCATGCTCTCCCTCTGCCATGTTCTAGAGCATCAGTATCTCCCCGAAGGGAGCTTTCACACACATCTGGTGCCTGAGGTTTTACATCTATGAGGCAGTTCAAGATGGTGACCTAGGATGATCGTGAACTCACCTCTTCCCATGGACACTCCGACTCTACAGCTACATATGGAACAATTTCCGGTAAAAACAAAAAAACACCCCCTGAAAACTAGCTGAGCGCCTCCTTCACGTGGGGCAAATGAGAAAAAGGCTACATTCAAGTGGATAGGAGATGCTGAGAATCTCACCATAAACCCCACCCCCAGTGCAGCTACCCACCATCAGGAGGAAACTCACAAACCCGGAGCTTCTCCCTGAGCAGCCAAGAGTTTGTACACCACATAAGGCACCTCAGCTTTTAAGACCTGCACCTGAGAGTTGAGCCCTCAAGGCATCTGGCTTTGAAAGTCAATGGGCTTACATCCATGAGACCCAAAGTGCTATAGTGAAAGGAGAATGGCTCTTAAAGAGCTCGTGAGCACTCACTCACCCCAGGGCCCCGCACAGAGGCAGCTGTTTGAAAGGTGCCCAGGTTTTATGTGAAGAAAATTCATTTCCTAATCTTAAAGAGTTGGCCAGAGAGGCAGGGTCCTGCTGGGATACTATCTGGGGACAGAAGCTGGTGGGCCCCATTTTTGAGCTCTCCCTCTACTGCGCTTCAGAGCACCAGTATCTCCTGGAGGGAAGCTTTTACCCACGTCTCATGTTCTGGGTTTTGTGGCTGCCACCAGGGGGTACCCCTTGATTGCTTGGCTCTGGAGTCCCCTGGAGCTATAACATTCGAGAGACAGTTCTTGGCAGGCTACCACCCCCAGGGCACTGGACAGACAGCAGACTGAAACACACCCCAGTCTTTCCAAGAAAGAGCCCTATTTGCTTGTCCAGGAGCTTTGGCCTGAGGGGCAGGAATCTGCTCTGGCACACTTCTAGGAGCCTATGGAAGTGTTCTCAGGGAACAGAGGCCAACGGAGGCTGGTGGATGCAATCTTTGCATTCTCTCTCTGCCTTGCTCTAGCTTGCCAGTATCTCCCAGAACCTCGGCTGGTGCCCCAATTTTTGCAACTGCTCTTAGGAGACACCTCTACATTGCCCAGTTCTGGTGGCCAGAGGGGCTTATGTTTGCAGGTCCCAAAGGACTGTAACCAATAGAGAAAGAGGTCTTAAACAGCTAACACCCTCAGGGCACAGCAAGAAGTAACAGACCAAGGAGCTCAATCTCTCTGTGAAATGGGCCTGTAATTTTATCATGGCAGGCTTCTAATTAAACACACATCTAAGGGCTGACTGTAAACCCTTCCAGACACCTCAGAGGGGAGCTCTTACACATGTCTGGTGCCCCAGTTTTTGCAGCTGCCACCCAGGGGGTGCCCCTTGACTGCCTGACTCTGGTGGTCAGGGGAGCTGGTGTTCCTGAGTCTCACAGGACTGTAACAATCAAGAGATAGTTCTCTGCAAGGTACCACCATCAGGGCACTGCACAAACAGGAGACTGAAACACACCCCAGTCTTTCTATGAAAGAAAGAGGCCTATTTGCTTGTCCTGGAGCTTTGGACTGAGGGGCAGCTTTCAGGTTTGGCACACATCTAGGGACCTATGCAGGTGCTCTCAGGGGACACAGGCCAGGGGATGCTATCTTTGCACTCTCCCTCTGCTTCACCACAGCTCATCAGTATCTCACAGAAAGGAGCTTATAAACTCATCCAAAGCCCTGATTTTTGTAACTGTCACCCAGGGGACACCTCCAGATCATCTGTCTCTGGTGGCCAGCTGGGCTTACACTTGCATTCCCACTGTATATATCTGCATAATTTAAAAGCTGCTGCCTAAGGGAATGACTTTCAATTAGCCTGAATCTAGGTGCTGCCTGAGATCCTCCTCTTTGAGACACTGACAGGTCTTCACACATCCTCAACTACTGAGGGCTATTAAAAATAAAATAGGCTCGGACTTCCCTGCTGGCACGGTGGTTAAGAATCTGCCTGCCAAAAAAAAAAAAAAAAAAAAAAAAAAACCCCCCCCCCCTGCCAATGCAGAGGGGACATGGATTCGAGCCCTAGTCTGGGAAGATCCCACATGCCACAGGGCAACTAAGCCCACGCGCCACAACTACTGAGCCTGCACTCTAGAGCCCGCGAGCCACAACTATTGAGCCCGTGTGCCACAACTACTGAAGCCCGCACGCCCTAGAGCCCGTGCTCCGCAACAAGAGAAGCCACTGCTCTCTGCAACTAGAGAAAGCCTGCGCTCAGCAACGAAGACCCAACACAGCCAAAAATAAATAAATAGAATAGGCTGCTGGGACAATCACAAAGGTTTGGGAGACAACTAAGAGCTGAGGCAAGGTTGAATGATAAGGTTCATCTCCTATGCAAGAGCACTACTTCAAGACTGGGAGAGGTGGCTCTTTCATATAATGCATAGAAACCAACACAGAGATTCAAGCAAAATGAGGAAAATGTTTCA